TTTAAAGAAAGAGAGAGGAGAAATAGAAGCGACAAAGAAGTTTTCTCTAGACGAACCCTTCTCCATTCCTGAGCCGACGAGGATGAGTAGTCAGGGACCCGGGGCACTGCGCAATCCTGAGCCCTGTTATGCAACTGCGTGCCCGGCAAGGGCCGTGGGTCCCCGGCTGCGGCACCCACGCTCGCGACGTCCGTCCCCACCCCAGAACTCGGGCCCAAGGATACCCGTGGCCCGGGAGGCTTCCTAGGCCCCCTCCCAGACGGGACACGCAGACCTCGGCGGCGGGTAGAGACCGGCCTGGAACCCCTTCTTCAGCTCCCCCCGGAAGGGGCAGTGGTGAAAGCGCCTGCGGAGCGGAGGGAGGTCTCTTTTAATTAGAAGCTTATCGGACGCGGGTTTGATTAGAGCTCACTGTCCCTGGACCCCGCTCTGGGCCTGGCGCAGAGAGTGCGGGGGCAGGGGCCGGGGGAGGGACAGCTGCTGGCTAGAAGGAGCAGCGTGTTCAAAGCCTCCTTGTACAGCCCTTGGAGGGAGAGACATGAGTGGCCAAGGTAGCGCCTTTCCCACGGTTAGTCCCGGCCGGGGAGAGGAGCGCAACCTTGACCGCGAGCGAAGAGGCGAAGAGGCGAGACGCGCTCGGCGCCCTCCTCCCCCGCCCGCGGCAGTAGAGAAGCGGGGAACCGCCTGGCCCAGACCCGCTGGGAGAGCTGAGGGATGAAATGGACAGCAGACTCAGCCAGGAAGGTGATCGGAAGGCTGAAAACGAGGACTGCAGCTGCACCGGGATCCGGGAAAACCCGTCCCCTAGCAAAATACCCTCTCGTACGTGACCGAAAGGGGGAGCCTTTGGCCCTCGGTCTTCGCAGGCTTCCACACCTGACCCTGGGTGACCTGATTATCCCAGGCCTAATCATGAGTTAGCGTTCTGCCAGCCCGACGGGCTGCGGGATCAGGCGTAGACTAGCAAGCGACCATTTTATTTTTTCTTGAGACGGAGTTTTTCTGTCGCCCAGGCTGCAGTGCAGTGGCACAATCTCAGCTCACCGCAATCTCTGCCGCCACCCCCCTCACCACCCCCCGTTCAAGCGATTCTCATGCCTCAGCCTCAAGTAGCTGGGAATACAGGAGCACGCCATCACGCCCTGCTACTTTTTTTTTTTCTTAGTAGAGATGGTGGTTTCGCCATGTTGGTCAGGCTGGTCACGAACTTCTGACCTCAGGTTATCCAACCTCCTTGGCCTCCCAAAGTGCTGGGATTACAGGTGTGAGCCACTGCCTCCGGCTCTATCAAGCTTTTCTTCCTCTCCTCCTTAAGCCTTGCATCTAGTCTGGGGCTACCTAAGTCCTCACCCTCACTTCTGCCTTCACAAACCCTTCAACCCTTACACATGGACTCAGAGTTTGGCGCCCCTCCAGCGGGCCAGAAGAATTCTGTCTCAACAGTGGGGCCAAGATCCCTCGAAAAGGAGTAGAAACACCCTGGAATGGTCTGGGTTCAAATCCCAGCTCTACCACCTAATCTCATAGAGCCTGGATTTCTTCATTCAAAACAAGGGCTTCTCCAGGATCAGGCTGTGAGCTTCTTGCAAAGGTTCTTGAGGCCATTGTCTTAATTAATATTCACTCCCTAGTGCCTGGCCAAGTAGGTGACTGATCTTTGCTAAATTAATGTTTACAAGATTAGGATGCCAGGTATACTATTTAAGAAATTGAAATATGAACATTCTCGTGAAGTTGTGTGAAGGGTTGTGAGTGGATACCAGCAATTGCCCCTGCCTGTGCACCATGGCTAGGCTGTCCTAGGGATCCAGAGACAACCACAATTCCTCTCCCCTAGGGTTTGGCCTTAGCGCTCTGATGGCCATTTCCACGTTTTTGAGAGAGTTGATGCCCTTGCCTCTCACAGCCTAAGTCTCAGGCCAGACCCTGCATTCCTGGGAAAGCAGCAGGAACCCTGGAAATCAAAAGAATAAATCCAGATTCTCTAGGGCCACCCTTGTTGCCCACTCTAGGGTAGCAGCTTGAGCGCTTCTCACATCCAAGCTGCCCAATGATCCTCAGTGGCTGGGTAAGCTCAACCCATCTGTTTTCATTGCAAGACAAAACTTAAACCTAAAGATAGCGCTTCCAGGCTGTATGATCTGAATCTGGGGCCTTCCCCCCATTGGGATTTTTCTCCAGGGTGGATAGGGAGGATACATTCACCTGCTAGTCCTGGTCCCCTTTAAACTTTTTCTCTATGGCAACCACGCCTGAGTATTATAGAGGAATCCAGATATTTTCCAGAAGTGTAATGCCCGCTGGCTGCAAAACTCAAAGTTCCACCCCTTTCTGGGTGTTAAGACCACAGGCACCAGATCTGCCCTGAAGAGGGCTGGGCAAGAGACCCAAACTGAAGGGACAGAGCCTAGGTTTCAAAAATCCCCTAGAAGTACTAAAACGATAATGGAAAAGTAGTATTTTGTGCCCCAGGGGCATGGACTCAACGGTTTCTCAACCCTCTCCAAATAGCCCACATGCAGAGATTCACGGTTTCTCAGTTACAGATGTTTAGATGGGTTGCGGAGTTCTATATTTAAAGCCCCAAGATGATGGTGGGTTGCGCTTCTGCATCTCTGAAGAATAACCAAGCCGGGTCCAATCTCCAGGTTGCCCATCCCAGCTGTCCTCTTATAGACAGGGACTCTGAGACTTAGTAACTCAACCTGCTAAACAGAGGTAGCGCGATCTTATCAAAGAACACAAGCCTCAGCGCTAAGTTGTCCGACGCCCCTTGAGTACAAAACACTATTTTCACTAACTAAAGGCATAGAGTGGAGGCAACCCTTGGGTCTGCTTGCGATTCCTCCGCGGGACACTGATCCCAGATTCTCCGCACGAAAAGGGCGGTTTCGATTTCTCCAGGGCTTTGGGTGGGCCCGGTGCTCCTGGTTGGGCTGGGGTAGTATTGGCCTTAAGAGGCGCGTTTAGAAGGCGCGGGTGAAGGCTGGCAACAAAAGCAGAGCCCCTCTGCCGCGCGCTGGGGGAAGGTACCTCCTGCAAAAGATACACTCTACTTCCCACGCATTCCACAAACATCCCAGCCCTTAGGCACTCGAGATGTTTTGCTCCAGGAAAAGCATCCGCCATTGTGTTAGTAAAGCGTTTACGAAAATACCTAGTGAACCCGAACTGGCTTAGGTTCTCAATAGCGCAGAAATCCACTGAGAATAAATGAAGAGGACAAACTACAGGGGCATTGCAGGGTCGGGTCCGTGCGGCCTAAGCTAAAGAGAGGTGGGATGGGCGCCGGCCCGGGACTAGAAACCCACATGATACTTTATCGTGCGCCGAGGTCCGTCCTAGTATCCTGACTGAGCACAGGGAATAAACCTGTCCTTGTTCTAACTCCAGGTCTTGAAGAAATATTTTCCCAGCTGAGCACCGCATTTACAAGGTAAAGATGCGCCCCAGATGCGCTGAAAGAAAGGCCAAAGCTAGGGCCTCATTCCACTGTCTGCGGCAGAACCTGGTCCCGCATACCTTGGAATCGGATAAGTCAAGGTCTGGTCCATCTCCAGAACCTGCGTGGCTGCCGCCTGAGCGAAGCCCAGAGAAAGATCCACTTCTGCATTACCATACGCGGGAACTATCCGCGCACACGGCACGGTTCCAGAAAGCCATTTAGCGACTGGTGGTGCGTTTGCTCATTCTAGTTCTCCATGATACTTAATGTGCACCTACTGTGTGCCAACACCGTATTACCCGGGCTGGAGGTGCTCCTGAACATTTTAGAGCGGCGGAGGCAGCACAGCATAGGCGCTCACCCTGCGCTGGTTCCACTACGAATCCACAGTCCAGACCTCTGAAAAGCCCAACGCTTGGTGACAATCTGGTGTTCCCTTAATCAACAAAACCTCTTCCCGAGGCAAAGTCGGACACTGCGCCGGTCTCGTCGTCCCATTCCCGTGGGGACTGGCAGTTCCGGAATCCCGGAATCTCTCTGACTCTAAGGGGCCCCAGACGGCCTCCCGGCTCAGGCGAACAGTCAGCCTCCCAGCTCTGCCTGGCTTTGGAGGATGTCGGGGGGCCCCTGCCTGCGTGCATTCCTCCTCACCGGCCTCCTCCCCAGCCGCCGCTTCCGCTACCCTCACCGCCCTTGGGAAGTAGCCGGGTAGGAGCTGCGGTCTGGGATGGGGTAGGAGAGGGAGGTGTCCTAGGGCGGCGAGCCCCTGGCGCCACTGCCCCGTGCGTAGGGGGCGCTCCCCAGCTTGCTTACCCTGATTGCGAATACCGGGCTGGCTCTCGAGGCAGCTGGGCAGGTAGGGAGCGTTGGGGAACATCCTGGCCTGGCCGGATGACGCCTGGCTGGGCGGAGGAGGACCGAAGGGCCCGTAACGACAGGCTCCTGCTGTGCCGGTGAACTGGCCGGAAAAGTGGACAGTGAAGGCGCTCAGGCACTGCTCCTCGTGCGGCTCGGCGCCGCCCCAGCTCGGCTCCTGTTTGATGAAGGAGTGGGGCGGCGGCGGCGGCGGGGGTGGCGGCGGAGCCGGCGGCGGCGCGGGGCCGCCCAACGACCCGTAAGCCGAAGCGCCCGGGGGCGCAAAGTCCAGCACGGGCGCCCACTGCGCGGCGCCGCTCACAGGCAGGGCGCAGCCGCCGCCGCCACCCAGCGAGGGGACGGCCGGCAGCAGCGCGTTCAGGTCCCGCACGTCGGAACCCATTTGCTGCAGCTCAGCCTCGGACTCCCCGCGGCTCCTCCGGCCCGGCAGACGTTCTGCGCTGGCCTCGGCTGCGCCTAACTTGGCCCAGATGCCGCCCGGATCCCGGACTCCCCGCTGCGCCGACTGCTGTAGGCACCCGGGCCCGTAGCGGAGCGTGTGCTGAGACGCCGGCTCCGGGGCACACGTGGAAGCCGGCTCTTGCGGGAAGAGGAAGTCCAGGATCGCGGCGAGGAGACGGCGGGGCCCGGGCGCCTGGGCTGCCGTCCCGGCTCTGGGTGGGTGGGTGAATGAGTAGGTGGGAGGGAGGGCAGGAAGGGGGGAGCAGACAGGCGGTCGGGTGGCGGAGAACCCCCGGGTGTGGGCGCTGCCTTGAACTCCTTACCCCAGCTGCCTGGCTGCCCCCAGCTTCCCAAAGCTCAAATAAGCGGGGCCGGCGGCGGGGGGAGGAGGAGGAGCCAGGAGGCTCGGCCGCTCCATTCACTCAGCAGCCCAAGCTCGGCCCGGCAGCGCGCGCTGCTCCTTGGGGGCGCCCTCGCAGCGGGGGTGGGGGCGGGTCCGAGGGAGCATCCCTCTTGGAGACACCCTCCTCTTCAACCAAACACGCGTTCTTAGCTGCCCGGCTTGGCACGACCCTCCCCCCACCTCCCTTTCAGGGCCTTCGCCAGTGTGGGAGCCTCGTCTCACTGGAGAGTCCTCTCAGGTAAGCACACCGTCCAGGCAGGGTCAAATGCGGTGGGAGTAGAGATGGGGTTGTTAATCTAAGAGAGTGGTTTGGAGGAAGGGGCAGGTAGGTCCCAAGAGGGCGGGAACTTCAGGAAAGCGCAGAGAACTCTCCGGCTTCAAAGAAGCGGATACCCATACATTGCACCCTTGAGTCTTGTCTCTTGCTTCTAGAGCCGTCGGGTAGGGGTGGTGGCTATGATCTTGGGGGTCAGTGCTGAGAGAGGCGGCCCTTTGGGGTTCCAGAAGTCGGGACTGGAAGCGAACGTGCCTCAGTTGGGTGGCTGGGAGTTGTACCAGTTACAAACCGGGTGTGTTTCGATGGGCTGGTGGTTGTTTATTTGGTGAGGTTTGCGCCCAGCGGAGGGCGGTTGCCGCCTACCTAAAATCGGAGTCAGCAGCACTTAAGTTTCTCTTTCCAGTGAGGAATATCTCGTTCTTCTACGGTTAAGCCGGGAAGACGGCGGCTAGTCTGGGAGGGAAGAAAACCCTTGGGCAAACGCCCAAAGCCTGCGTATATTCCGGCCGGAGCATCCTGGCGCCCAGTTGGGGGAGGAGAGGTGAAGGGGAGGGTTTGGATAAGAAGCTGGGCTGAGAGAGGGTGGCTCCTGGAGCCATTCCACCGAGCACTGCCTGCGTTCCTGGTCGAGAATACTATTCTGGTTGTTCAGTGATGGACCAGGAGGCGGAAGCCAGTTAGGGGGACCAAGGAGTGGAGTAGGGAGAGCCTCCATCGGCCCACGGGTCCGAGGTAGTGTTCGAATCTCTGGGAGCTCTAAGAGCTTCGCCAAATTATACTCCCTTCATCTAGTCTCTGGCAGCCTCCGCGCCCCAGAGCAGGTGTTTGGGGCAGAATGGAGGGAGATTGTTTTGGTTTGGTGTTCGGATCTTCTAAAGGAGTCAGGATCTATTGGGAAAAAACCCTAGGCGAGGAGAAGCACCAGGAGCCCTGAGCGGAGAGTGTTTCAGAGGTGCCTGTAAACGCCCAGGGGCGCCAGGAGACAGCAGCAACTGCTCAGCGTGGGACTGCCGGGCGCACCGGAAGGGAAGCAACTGGTGCAGTCTGGCCTCCAGTACCTGGCTGGCCCGGGCTGGGGCTCCAAGCTTTCCAGCCAAACTTACGCCAAACTTACGTGAAGCAAAGTAGATGCAGTTTGACAAAGGACGGCGTTTTAATAAATGACAGTTTTTTTTACGTTTTGGTTTTTAGCTTGCATTGCGTAAACGTTGTCGCCATTAAATTCTGACTGCGGACCCGAAGTGTGTGCGGGGTCCAGGACTTACCCGAAGGGCGCACTTCTTGGGGATGCGCATCCCGTAGTCGCAGGAGAAGGGTAAAGGTACGGAACGGGAGCCCTCTGCTTGCCCCCCAGGCCACCTGTGCTGTTTGACTTCGTCTCCACTCAAAAGCTTTAAAAATTATTATTTTTAGATTCTCCAGGACACTGACCCCTACGCTCTGCCCAGTCCTCTCCCACACGCTCTATTCCTAAACCTTCAGGGGTTTCGTGCCTTTGGTATTTTGAGTGGAGAGAGGCCTCGAGAGCCAAATTTCACTACCAGCTGCCCCTCGAACGCCCCAAATTTCTGTCTCTCCCTTCCTTCTCCCCGCCTATTATTTCTGCTTATAAGTCGTTTTTCTTAACCAGGACTTAAGTACTTCCATTTCCCAACGGAAAGACTGAGATTGTTTCTTCTTTTACCATCCTTGGCACTTTTAGCGGGGGGGAAGGAGGTTATCAGGAGGGAGGCTGGCTTGAATGTGAGTCTTTTGTGTTTGTGAAACGCACGTACGGCAAAGACCCGTAAATCTCTAACCAATGCTTTCAAAAAATAAGTTTTTGTCCCGGGCAGCGGAGGTGGCGGGGCGGGGGGTGGTGTAGGGGTGAGTGGGAGGAAAGGGGAGCGAGGCAAATTTAGGACTCCTTTCCTCTGCCTTTTGTTTTCTCAGAATCCCTGTGGGGGCGGGGAGGGGAAGCGCACTGCCCCGAACTCCGGGGCGCCCCTTCGCCTCGACTTCGACTTCTCAGACTGAAGAGGTGGGAGGAGTTCCCTGCAGCCTGCAGGGCCGAGAAGTAAGTGCTAAGCTCTGGAGCCGCAGTCGCTGGACCCCGAGACCCGACAGGAAGTCTCCGTACGACCCCGAAGGACCCACATTCCCGGAAGCCCAGGAGACCCTAAACCAGCGCTGGGAAATGGACAATCTCTTGGCAGTCTCAGGGCGCTCCAAGCCTCTCTCTTCACTTCTTTCTTATGGGTAACGTTCTCTGCGGGAGACCTGAGGTTACCTAAGAGGGATGCGCCGGCTGCGCTGGCCATGGCGCGGTGAGCTAAGCAGCAGGACCCACAGCCTGGCCCGAAGGCAGGTCGCACCTTCCACCCGCCGCGGAAGGTAGGCGCTCTCCTGCACTTCCTTTAGCTCGAGAGGCCCGCCCAAGGTCCCAGGGAAAAGAAGGCTGTGAGACCTGGGTGCTCCCTTCTTTCCCACACCTTCTTATCCCTGTCAGCGCCGAGATCTGTGGCAGAGGTTCCTATTCTCAAACACCTATTGGCAAAGAAAGGTGCAGATTAAACTCCTCGTTTTATAGAGAAGGAAACTGAGGCCCAGACAGACAAAGGAGAGGCAAGCTGTGGAGCGCAGCGGTAAAGAGCAAGGGACTGGTGGTCCCAGAATGGAATCTCGGCTCTGCCAGGTAACCGAAAGCTGTGTGACCCTAGACGAGTTCCGTAGTCTCTCTGAGCCTCGGTCTCCTTACTGGTCAAACGGGATAATGGGATATTAGCTCCCACCTCATGGAGTCGTCTGAGGATTAGATAGGAGAGTAGTGTTGGCCTTCGACTCAATCAACTTTACAGTTTTTGTTACTACTACTGTTTAAGGACAGGAAGCAAATTAGTGGCAAAGCTGAGCTGACACCCAGGTCTCTCAACGTCCAGTTGGGGGTTTTACCCACCACCCCTCTGCCTCTCCAGGACTAATGGGACGCAGAGGCGAGGAGAGCGCCTGGAAAACAATGCGGCGTTGGTGCACTGGCAAAGCGCAGGCATCCCGGCCTCAAAGGTGCATAATTATTGCAGGATGAAAAAAGTCTAGGCTGGGTGGGAGGAGGGCAATGAGGATCTCTCAACCCCTCCTTTCACCCCTGCGCTGTCCACTTCATTTGACCGAGAGCTGAGCTGGGCTGCTACAGCCGCAACCCCAGGGACCAGTGCGCACTCCCGAGCCGCCCTCCGGGAGTCACCCAGCGGCCGCGGACAACTGAATAAACATGCCAAAGCGCTGCGACCGGTCAGTGGCGGGGGCAGCCACCCTACGCACCGGGCACGCAGGCTGTGATAAAGAGTGGCTCGACCTCGCTGCCGCCTGTCGCGGGAGAGAAATTAGCGTTCGACCAGCGCCTCTCCCCGGGGCCGGCGCCCAGAGCCCCGCGTACAAGTCAGCCAGACAGCTGCTCCCTTCCTCCCTCCTCCCGGTTGACTCCAGCTCCTCGGAATCTGCCCACTCCGGGATGCGCGGCAATTGTTTAGGATGGTTCCCAGCCCTGCGCTGGTGGTAGAAATTTCAGCGTCAATTATTTAACTAGTAATTTTTTTTAAGCAAGGGAGGGGCTTTTGTGATAGCTACTCCCAGCTTCTTCTGATCATTTCAAAATTAACTCTATTAAAAAACAAACAAACAAACAAAAAAAAAAAACTAGTCCCCGCTTAACGGTTCTAACTCTCCTCTCTAACCCTATCTGGGGGCCCGGAATCATTAGATACTGCCAAGTGCGATGCAAAATTTCCCTTTCTCCCCCAGTTCGAAGTGCCTGCGAGCCGCCAGGGTTACCCGTCTGTTCTGATGCCACCGCGAGATGGTCCCCGAGCTCCCGGAGATCCTCAATGAAAGGATTCCGCGGCTCTGCCTCTATTATTATACCGTAAATCTTTTTAAATTCTGGAACTAATTATATAGAGGATATGTCTCAATTTGTTCTGCATTAATGCCACAGTGGGGATGGAGGCCAGGCTGTGGCCAGAGCAGATACGTAGGCCCATGAAATTGATGAACTGAGAGTTGCTTCCAGTCCTGAGCGCACCATCTGGAATTCCAGTCTGAGGTTACAATTAGAACTCCTGACCCCAGATTCAACTTTGCAAACAACGGGGAAAAAAATGGGGGAAAAGAAAAACCACTAGAGAGAGAAAAAAATATATATATTCTGCACCTGTTTAAAAAAAATCACACACAATCTTAAAATCTTTCCATCTTAGACAATTCTTTCCAAATTTTTTTTGTGTTTTTTAACCTATAAAAGATAATGGAATATGTTTTATAGACTGGATTTTATCTCATCCCCTTTCCCTCTCCCAACTGCCCTCAGTTTAATAGTTGTCAGTTTTACCTCAGTGTTGAATTTAATTATGTAGGAACAAAATATTTCTCAGTAAATTAGCTTGCTAAATATTCTGTCACATTTACTTCCCCTTTGAGAAATGGCTTAATTACAGAAATCTACCTGTGTCTAGGAACTTTTTTTTCCTTTTCTTTTTTGACTGCGATTCCAGCTTAACTGTAAGCAGAGATTTTATTTGTGCAGTAATTTTATTTGTGTTCTAAATTAGTTGGCCAATTTCTTCCCTCTTTCTTTAGTAACATGCTGCTTTATTTTCCTCTCACTTTGACCCCCTGAAGAAAATGAAGGGCCAGGCAGTACTGGAGAATCTGTTAAATTTATTAGCATAAATGCTTAGACAAAACGAGATATAAATCATTCAGATGTATTAAGCCATAAAGTATCCCAAAGAAGTCAGTCCCTTGCCAGGGTCCTGGTGTATAAATGTTCATATAAAACAAGGTATCGGTATTATCTTTCAAACTGAATATATGTTGTAAAAATATCCAAGGTTGTGTTGGGAATATGGGGGTGGGTGTCGGTGCAGCAAGACAAGAAGGGGATATTCTTTAGAGCAGACTGTTAACATAGTGGTGGCTCAGAAAGTACGGTGGAAAGGAAAAATCTCAACCGTTTGCATTTGGAGTCTTCTTAGATAATATGTTTTTAAAGAAAGGTATTAGGATATATTTGGGAGCAAGAGAATAAGAAAAAAAAAAAAAGGTGACTAGATGGAGAACGACATCGCTTTCTGTAGAATGCGTTTTCCCCCAAAGGTTAGTTTAGCTTCAGAAAAGTCCACCCAGAGGAAGCACTGGCACCTCACACAGATAACGGAGTAGCCAGTAGTGAAGAGCTACCTGGGCCTTCGTCTGGGAACCAGGATATCCCGCCGCTGGTCGGCAGAAGGATGTGTATTCATTCGTGGTAGAAGAGAAGAAAGCACTTGGGTGTGAGGAAGGGGAATGGACAGAATTCCTAGCAGAGGTTTACCAAGACAAAAATCACACACAGTGTTTAAGCAGCAATTGCTCATGAAGTTCATAACCATGGCTCTCTGTAAATCTTGGCAAATCGGCGTTTGCCTTTTGGAAATGACTGTTTTCAAGACTTAAAAAAAAAAAAATCAAATTGTCCACCAGAAAAAGGGAATAGCTCCCCTCCCCCTCCCTTTTTTTAAAGCAGGGATATCCTCATCCTTTTGGTGCCATTCATTCATTCATTCCTTCACCATGCCACAAAGATTGTCAGGCATTGTAGCAGCAAGTGGGGACACAGGGTAATGACAGGCTTACCCTGCTCTCACAGTTAATATTCTGGTAGGTATGACTGATACTTTACAAGGAAATAAATGAGATATTTTCTTTCCTTCTTTCTTTCTTTCCTTTTTTTCTTTCTTTGCTTTCTTTCTTTCTTTCTTCTCTTTCTTTCCTTTCTTTTTTCTTTCTCTCCTTTCTTTCTTTTTTTTAGATGAAGTCTAAAAAAGACTCATCTGTTGCCAAGTTGGAGTGCAGTGGCACAATCTTGGCTCACTGCAATCGCCGCCTCTTGGGATTCAAGCCATTCTCCTGTCTCAGCCTCCCAAGTAGCCAGGGTTACAGGTGTATGCCACCACACCCAGCTAATTTTTGTATTTTTAATAGAGACAGGGTTTCACCTTGTTGGCCGGGATGGTGTCAATCTCCTGACCTTATGATCTTCCCACCTTAGCCTCCCAAAGTGCTGGGACTATAGGCGTAAGCCACTGTGCCCAGCCGAGATATTTTCATATAGTACTAACTGCTATATAAGAACAAGGAGATCTGTGAGATTGGAGAATGACTAAAGGTGAGATGGGGATGAGGAGCAACAGATAGCCCTCACTTTTTGCCTTCGGCCCATGCTACCACATTTCAATGTGTTTTTAGGAAGTACTCCACCCTACTGTCCAAGTGCAGGAAGGATTTGAAGGTTTGGAATGGTTGGTCTGGATAAATCTCTGCCCACAAGACTGGACTTTATGGAATCGGCAGGGCAGCTCTTTATATAGCTGGCTTAAAATTATCACCACTAGCTGAGTGACTCTGAAGGCTATTTAATCCCTGAGAAACTCATTTTTCTTCTCTTCAAGATAAAAAATAACAGAAAGCTATGAGGACTAGATAAGGTAAGGCATGTAAATTTCTTAGCCTTTAGGAAGCATTCAATACATGGTTTGCTTCTAATTAATTGATAAGTTATAGGCTTATAGTATTGATATTGGTGTGAATTAAGAAAAGGTGGAAATCTTTGCTCTTGTTGGATCGGGGGAAGAACAGGAAGGGAAACCTTTGCTGAATTTGACCTTAAATGAGGTTGTTGCCACATAGAAGGAAATTTAAATCATTTTGCCCTCTACCAGAACCCTAAAACAGGAAATGTGTGGCTTTTGTCTCAAAATCAAGCTTAGGTTCCTTCTTTTAGTACAGAAGTCTTCATATATATATATATATATATATATATATATATATATATTGCATTTTAGGTTTTGAAGAACATGCAAGATTGTTGCATAGGTACACACATGGCAGTGTGGTTTTCTGCCTTCCGTCCCCTCGCCTGTATCTGTCATTTCTCCCCATGCTATCTCTTCAAAGCAGAAGTCTTTAAGTTAACATTAGCCTGACACTCAGAATAGCTTTGTTCCTTAGAACCACATTTCAGGTTTGCAGCCTTGTCCAGGATAAAGAATTCTGGCATAGGTATAAAAACACCTGAACTCAATTCCTTTCTCTGCCAGTTACCATGATCTTGGAGAAAAAACTTCAGCCCTCAATTTTTCAGTAGCTTTATCTGTAAAATGGAGATGATACAAAACGAAATAAAGAATCCATGGGTGACTTGAAAACTACAAAGTGCTGGATGGTGCAGAAAACCATGGCATCTGTTACATGTGAACGTGGGGAAAGGAGTGTGTCTATTCAGAACACTGGGGCATGTTGCTTGCTCTCACAGTTCTTCATTTCTAAGTGGGCATAGTACCTTTAGTCTTTCAAAACAATACCTAGCAGAGGGTGTGTGCCATGTGAGTGTCACTGGTACAGTTACTGTTCCTGTTCTCTGGCCATCTTCTTGGGCCAAGGATTGAGCCTTATAATTTTCACACAAAGAGTTTTTTACTGTAGAAGTTTACAGTAGTATAGAGAGCAGGGCTATGGGATCAGATGGCTGGGGTTTAAAGCTTCCTCTGCTACTTATTTTCTGTATGGCTTTGGGTGACTTCCTTATTTCCTCTGAGTTTTAATTTTCATAACTGTAAAACAGGACTAATGACACTGTCACCTTACAGCGTTGTTTTTATAACACAGTAAAACACTATATGTAAATTGCTTACATGGTGCTGGCATGTAGTAAGAAATAAATAACTGGTAGTTATTAAACTTGTGATTTTTCTAATCAGACAATATTAGCTATGACTTAAAACAGATGAGCCTGTAAGAGCTTGAATTACAGCGTGATTCTGAACAAACTCAGAAAGTAATTTCTAGCTTCTTTTAAACTCACCTATACCACACTGAAATCTCACTCTTTCGCATATGAAAGACTTTGCAACCAAGACATGGACAATGATTTTCTTTTTGACTATGAGCCCTTTAGGTTAAAATTTTGAATCTCATTTATTTTTAATGGGTTTCTTTGCAAAATAACCCAGCATATGTCAAGGACATTGGTAATCCCATGTTTTTCAGAATAAGCAGGAAATTGGCTTCAGCCAATGGGGAGAAAAAGTAGTTTGATCCTCTTCCTGGAGTTACCACATAGCATTTATTAATAGCTCTGTAAACGATCTAGAACACAGTATCAGCTTGCTGTTCAAAATATGACAAAAGTTTATGAGAAGTTGCTTAGGAAAAACAAGATATAGTCATTAGAAATCTGACACTGGTCAATAGTACATTTATTCCAAGTCTCCATAAATCACAAACAAATGAAACTTCTGCTGTGATCACTGTTCCAGATCTGAAAGACCTTCCCCTTACTTTGTTAGAAATTGAGTACATTTTAGAAAGCCCAGTATTTTTTCCTCTACCAATAGAGGCTAATTACAAAATTTCCCGAGAAACAATAAATACTAAACTCTAATAAACAGATGTGACACAAGATAAATAAGAAGCACATAACTTAGCTTTCATTCCCTATGTAGGGCACATGTTTATCTTTAATTATCTCCAACCTGGGAATGGCATAAATGTTATCTGTTTTATTTATTGTTTGTATCTAGAGTGACACCACATTTTGATTTTGCCCAGGATAGTCTCAGCTCAAGCTGTTGTCCCAGATTAATTATTAATTACTCTTCTTTTACTCCCGAAAGTATTCTACTTTTGATGGTAAATAGGACTTCACTTGCTTAAAATTTTATTTTATTTTATTTTATTTTTTAAAAAGACAGATTTAAGAAAGCCAGTAGAGCAAGGGTAAAATACGGGCTAAGTGGGGCTAATGAGAAGAAAAAAAGATTGAATTAATATTAGTGTCAAAGGATGCACATAGTTTCTATAATTGAACATAAGACAATTATGAACTTCCTGACAGCCAAGTAAGAAAGGGAAAAATAGCACTGGTTTCATATCTTTCAAGATGCAATGAAGGAAAGAAGCCTAGTTTTTCAGAAGAGATGAACTTTTTCTAGTACTAAACTCTTTTTTTTTTTTTTTTTTTTTTTTTGAGACCGAGTTTCGCTCTTGTTACCCAGGCTGGAGTGCAATGGCGTGATCTCGGCTCACCGCAACCTCCACCTCCTGGGTTCAGGCAATTCTCCTGCCTCAGCCTCCTGAGTAGCTGGGATTGCAGGCACGTGCCACCATGCCCAGCTAATTTTTTTTGTATTTTTAGTAGAGATGGGGTTTCACCATGTTGACTAGGATGGTCTCGATCTCTTAAGAACTTACCATACTGCCTTTATATAAGAGTTATTAGACAATGGTTAGTGACTTCGGCAATAATGTTTCAAAAGATACAGCGACGTTTTCTGATAGTTTATTTCAACCCAATGTCCACAGCATTAAAATTGTGGTTCTGTAAACTCTTAAGAGGAGAGACAGTAATATAGTCCCTTTTTGTAGTTTTCTGGGAGATCTGACCTGTGTCAAATTAACCTGATTTGTTAATTTTTAGAATGTATCTATTGGTAATTTTTAAAAAGCATATTTTATCAGTTAATCATCAATTAACTTGAACCAGAATCAAAACACTGCAAAGGACTTGACCACTGTTCTCCAGAATCTGTGAACAATTTGGTGGGAGCTCTAGGACAGTGGTTGTTCTCAATTGAGATGATTTGCTCCCCAACAGACATCTTGCAATATCTAAAGATGCTGTCACTGCTTGCAGTCAGAAGGCGCTCATTAGTCCAGGCATGGTGGCTAGCGCCTGTAATCCCAATACTTTGGGAAGCTAAAGGGGGCAAATCATGAGGTCAGGAGTTCAAGACCAGCCTGACCAAAATGGTAAAACCCCATCTCTACTAAAAATACAAAAAATTAGCTGGGTGTAGTGGTGGGCGTCTGTAATTCCAGCTACTTGGGAGGCTGAGGCAGGAGAATGGCTTGAGCCTAAGCGGCAGAGGTTGCAGTGAGCCAACATCATGCCACTGTACTTCAGCCCTAGAAGAAAAAAAAAAGAAGGCACTCATTAGATGCACAATCCTGGCATCTAGTGAGTAGAGGCCAGGGATGCTGCTAAACATTCTGTAATGTACAGAACAGACCCCCAGAATAAAGAATTATCCAGCCTAAAATATCAATAGTGCCGAGACTGAGAAACCCTGCCATAGGGTACTGTTAGAAGAAGGAATGCCGACATCATTTTTTAGCTGGAGTCAAAAGAAAAAAAAAAAACCTCATGGGGAAGAGGAGGTTGGGCTAGATTCCTCCATACCACCCAGTGGAGCTGGTGGATGTCTCTCCCGAAGCTCAACAAATGTCAGGAAAAAAAAACATAAGAAGAAGCAAGTCAGGTGGAAATGCAATTCACAAAGGGAATTGTGAATAAACTCATTTAACCAGAAAGGAGGAAGACTCCATGTAGAGCATTAAGAAAGAAAGCCAGATAACACATGCAAATTCAGGGCAAAGAGTTTCTGTTCTGATGTTATGCTCCAAGATC